AATGGAGGAGTCGCCGGCAACGAAGACGACACCCGCAGGTCAGTGAAACGAGCTGGGTGCACACCGGTCGCCATCGTCGTCGAGCGCCGCAACTGGACGCAGTAACTGTGGCACTCGGCCACAGCCGCCACCGCCTTCTCCTCGTCCTCCTCCGCCTCCTCCTCCTCCTACTACTACTCCTTTTCGGTCGTCCGTCAGTCCGTGCGGTAGTACGGTTCTCTCCGTTGATACGGTGTCGCGGCATAACGTTCTCGTCGTCGGCCCAGAACTGAGCCTGAGCATCACATCGCACATTGGCACCCACCCGTCAGCCGTCACCACTCAACCGCCGACCACCGCCTCCCCCCTCTACCCGTCCGCCATGGAGCAGCGCAGCACTGCCAGTGACGGTAGGTGATTCGTTATTGGTTTTTATTTAGTCAGTGTTTATTGCCGTCAAGTGCCTCACGTCTTACGTACCGCTGTTTTTAAGGAATTTGTAAATATCCTTTGAGAACATCGGTCCTGCGACGAGTGCTGCTTGACAACCGTTTTCCAAAACTTACTCTTCTGACGTCTTAATTGCAGCGATTGGCGATATGTCCTACAGTAATCCTATGTCTTATTCTGATTTTTTCGCAAAACACGTGCTTTGCGCATTCTACACCGCTAAGACGTGGTGGCACAGCACAGCGGCTAAGAGGCCGGCTTTGAATCCGTTTACAACTGACAACCTCTGTCTTAATCGCTAACACCCTTGAGCAGAGAATTAACTCAGCATTGGCTGCACTGCGCTAGCCAGCCAACGTGGGTAATAAGTCGGCGACTTTACTCTGACCCGTCATACCAGAACAGACTACGTGTACGGTAATGCTTTCCAACGAAACGACCCCTCTCCCCAGCCACCCTGTGGCTGCACTTCGCTTTGTCTCACATAACAACATCTGAATATTCAGTGTAATAATCAGCACAAACTTAACTAGACTTCTTTTTTTCGTTTCTACTTAACCGAACGAAACTATAACTAAAAATCTAATATGTCGATTTTTAGTTACAATATTAATTGCCAACTACTTTCTTATTTATTGGTTTGCCCTCCTGAAATTGCCTTATTCTAATCACGGTCGCAAGAAAGATTTAAGCATTTACTTCTCATCCATTATCACAAACAGCTTTTCCAGTTATTCAGATCTTACTGGACCCATCGTCTGGTAACAATCTACATCTATAGACTTAAATTGTTCTGTGACTGTTAGTGTAAAATATGCCCTGAAGATAAACTCGGTGTTATCCAGAACGTAGGATAATTGATATGCTATTTATATAGGCGAATTAAACCCTTAAAGTCCTTCACGAAAAAAAACTATTAACCCGCCAAAGAACTTGAGCGCCATCTTGACTACGACTCTGCCATATTTGCCATCTTCATATTCAGTGATGGGTCATCCATGCATCTTTACGTTTTAGTAGTAAAAATAAGCAATCACTCGATATAGGATTCCATGTCGAAGCGAGTATAAGAATATATCCATCTCATGAGCCATAAGAGACGACCAGGCAGTGAAGCTGGGCTGTTGAAAACTTTCTCATGCTAGAAAATAGGCTACGAAAAATATAACTCACTCCGTAACAGGAAAATAGTACTGAAATTTCACAATGGCATAGTTTCCCAGCGAAAACGGCATTTGATCTGGCGTTTAATCGCCAAAAGGCAACCTCACCTTGTAAAGGGTTCGGCAATAAGCGAGCCGCAATATCCTTCCATGGTCTCCCCTGTCAAGTAATGTTCATATAAGCAATAAACCATTTTTAATAAAACCTACAGCCAGTGTGTTTTCCGTAATCAAACCGCGGTATTCCCTGCCACAGAATAACTGGCAGCAACTGGATTAGAGGGCCCCGGCCTTGACAAGCCAGAATCGTTGTTTCAGAGCAGTTACGTTTGCGGTGAGTGTGTCATGGGCTTTAAATGATAATAGAGTAGCTTTAAAGGACAACTGAGAGCAGAGGCTTACAGAGTTTTTCATTCTACAACACAGTGCTGTCCAGTAATAGGGTTCTCCAGCTGAAAGTTCGAACTGCAAGACAAGAGTCCCTTCTCCAATACCTCCTAAAATAATCAGTGTGAAATCTATCCCTCATGCTGTATGACATCTGACCAATCAAGAGCTGATGAAAAGATGAGAGAGCATCCTGACGATTCCCTACTAATGATAAAAATGATCATAAAGGAAATGAGATGCTTCATAATAAAAGATTTGTCGCTCAGACTTCGTCGTGTTTATATCCCTTCAAACGCCGGATACAAATATTTCGTGACTAACGTCTTGAAAATGCGGAAACGCAAAGTTCGTTCTACAGGTTGTGTATGTTTAAACCATATTCACGTTTTCTTCGCACATTTTATATCACAGTATATTCTATGCAAATTTGAGGAGTCAATTGTTGCAAACTCTGTTTATTACCAAAGACAGTTTCTAATTAACATATTACATTATTACACACATATAGTTATACATGTATTCATTACAATTATTTGATTAGTAGCTACAGGATTAACGTAAGTTGATTTGGTCCTGTAGCTTCTGTGAAATGAAAGCATTCGCTTCAATGCCACTGGTAGCATTGCAGTGGAAAGCAATGGCTTCCTGCCCCACCGTTCTCTCCTTCTCAGCCTAGCTTTTTATTTTTCAGCTGTCAGCTTCTTCCTCACTCCTCAGTCGTGTTTATTTGTCCAGATTTCCTGCGCGGTGATGACTTTCTGGACAGTATCCTGTGTATCATTTGTCCTGCCCCTGAAGTCAAAATTCCAAAGCCGGCATTCACGATTAATACGCTGTTTTTGGTCTTCGTTTCGAATGTGTTTCTCTTCCTCTTTTTTTCAGAGCTTTCACCTTCAATCGTTTGTCTGTTCGTAATTGTCTAAATGTTGCTTTGTTTCATTATTATCATTTGCTGCCTCTTTTCTTTCCTTCGTTTGCAGACGTTCTGCCACAAATTTCTTTTTCTTTTCCTTGAATGAACTTTTCTCTTTCCTCGTCACCTCGCCTGTTTCTTTATGGCTTCTCCATTGTCCGTTTTATTTTCTTCCTGACACATTCAAAGTGGATCAAATCATTAATTAACGGTACACCCCTACAATTTTACTGACCAATCAATCACTTGGCATTATGCTGACATCTTCCTTATAGCTATATTTTTCTGCATTTCCTAGACCATGATAAATCATTTAATATCGGACCAGCGGTGTTTGGCCATCAAGATTTTGTCCAACAAATCAGCTGCCCCGTTGTGCAGTATTTTATCCCTAAAACAGATTCACAATATTCATAACAGTACGAAGCAAAATGAGGTTCACATGATCTCTTTCAAAAAAAATGTCATGATCGTATAGACAGCTCCAAAATTATTGAATTTATTTATGTTTCGTTGTATATACCTATGAAAAGAATAACTGCTGATTGAAAAACTTGCTTCACCCTTGCATACCAATTCGCACCTGTACTCTGTGCAATGCCTCGCATGCATGGTCGAGTCCGGCTACTACAACAACTTTGGTCTACTTTCGACCGGTTCATTTGTTACAGACATAACGCAATAATGCATTGAATGGGATGTTTCTTTCTGATGCAAACCTTCCATTACTTCGTCAACAAACTCATTTACATATTGAGTAGTCGATTGTTCTCACTTCCCACAGTTTAGCCTCACTTCAGTTGTATCTACATGGTGGAACTTTCGGTTTCGGAAAAACATGTTTTGACCCACCATGCGCCGTCTATTGCTAAATAGCCTCCTTCCTGTCGTCCTCGCTATCTTAGAAGGCTTGTGATGCGTAAACCTAAATAATTGAATGGAGAGGATGGAGATTATGAAGATAATGGACATGTTGTGCTAAAATGAAGAGTCACAAAATTAGAACTAGGAAGAAGTAGCCACCATAGTCAAAGCGAGTCTCTGAAGTTCTCTTGAACTGACTGAGGTCGAGCAAAACCCCGCTTCAAGAAGCTGTCAAAGTTGCACATGTCTGAAAGCTTATAAATCATTACGCCACCAGTACTTGAATCCCAAAGGACATTCTGTGACAATGATAATTTAGCCACAGTTTGCTGCAATATTCTCAATATCAAATAATGCTAGATGTTCCTTTTTCAGAATTACTACTGAGTTATGATTTCTGTTGTCTATTTAAATGCGGCGTTGATCGAAATGCATTCTACATCCGAAGGGGGATGTAAGCCACTGCATATGAGAAGGTACGAGCGATATAAGTCAGTTTGTTATAAGATAAAACGTATCACTCAACATCGCCGCCCGCTTGACAGACAATGCTTTTTTTGTTATTTGCGCATCCCACGCATAAGTCACAGATCGGGAACGAAAACCTTAGATTTTCTGGTCGACAACAAACCACCATGTCACACCCACGATGTAGTTGTATTTTAGCAAACGACGGGTGCTGAAACGCTAAAGTGCAGTAAAGTCTTTACTGCTTGTCAGTTCGTTAGCAAGAAACGTCGTCCTACGACGAGCTGTATTTTGAGGAGGTGTTGATTTGATGGTGCTTCTGAGAAAAACTGTACTAGGCGTGAGTCTATGCCCACAGAGGGTGGAGTTCGTTGGAGGTCGATCAGGTTTATGCCTTAAGGTACAGGTCCTGGAGTCTGCTTGAGACCGCCAACGAATCCCTCGATTGTTGACCACGTCGTGACCTTATTATTTGGGCTCCGACAGTATGCCTGCAGGTCGACTACCTTTCGAACACCTGTGTTGTTCTGTTTATGGCCGTGAATAAGCCGCCAAACAGGTTTGATTCACTTGACAGATTTAATGGTCGAATTACGCGCGAGGCGGTAACGTTTTCCTTCATTAACGCCCTCC